CTGTGTATGTTTACCATCTTCTCCGTTACCCTATCTGATTGATTTCTTATTTTAATTCTCTAGTATTGATTTTGATTCTCTATAGACATTGCCCGCATTGCATGATTAAGGTTTATTAGTACCTCTTCAATAGAATCAAAATTGTTTTGTTCTAGCAAACTCCTCTGATTCCGCCGTATTGTCGGCTTCTCTATCTTAGAATGTTAAATCTGAAAATAGTGTACGGTTATCAAGCGCTTTCGGTTTTTGTGTATATTGTGATTGTCGAATTTCAGAAAAAACTAAAAAGAAAAAACTCGAAAAGGCATTATGCACGTTGTTAATGGAAAAGAAGAAAAATGTAGGTTTGCTATTCTTACCTGTATGTAAATCAATTTCTTCATGTTTGCAATAGGGGGCTTATGGGAGAACGGACGGTGAAGAGATTGCGGCTGTCAAAAGCCTTGACAGTACCTGAAAGTACAACTATCAAGGAAGCTTGTCTTAGGATGGCAGCACGTAGAGTTGACGCGTTATTGCTAACGGATTCGAATGCATTATTATGCGGTATCTTGACAGATAAGGTGTAGAGAACAACTCAAGTAACATAAAGAAATTTTTACCATGATTTTCATATTTCACTTGTCGCCCTTTGGCCCTCGTTCCTTTCATGCACATTAGAGTGATAATTTATTTATATTTTTTTTACAAATTTTGTCCTTTTTATTTCTCGATTAAAGGATATAGCTACAAGAGTTATAGCTCGTGAGGTCAATCTTGAGGGAACACCTGTTTCGAAAGTCATGACGAAAAATCCCGTGTTTGTTCTTTCAGACACTCTTGCTGTTGAAGCTTTGCAAAAAATGGTTCAGGGTAATTAGATTGATGATATTTGATTGATTAATCTATGTATCACAATATCACATATTTTCTTGTAATGTGAGAGTCTTTTTCCTACAGGGAAGTTTAGGCATTTACCGGTTGTGGAAAATGGTGAAGTGATTGCACTACTAGATATAACTAAATGTTTGTACGATGCAATTGCTCGTATGGAGAGGGCAGCTGAAAAAGGAAAGGCCATTGCAGCTGCAGTCGAAGGTGTTGAGAAACAATGGGGTACAACAGTGTCTGGTTAGTGCAAATTATGTTTGCTTTCAATTATGTACACCACCAACTTTACTTTTCATTCGCAAGAATTTTACAAATGTTTATTTATTTTTAAAATTTTAAATCCATTTTGCTATATGAATGCACATAACACGAAACAAATGGGTTTGCATTAATCATTAATTAGTTTTTAAAAAACTACCATATTTATACTCTACTTCCTGTATTCTTTTTTGTTCTATATCCTATATATGTTAAGTAAAAGTGTATTATTAAAATTATTTTGGTCTCTATTCTTACCTTAATTTTAGATTTTTATTATTTTATTTTTATCTTTGCAAATGTATTGGTCATTTTTGTTAATTATTTGAGTGATGTTTAGTTGTTGACTTTATAGAGCCTAACAAATTCATCGAGACACTTCGAGAGAGAATGTTCAGACCTTCATTGTCGACTATAATTTCCGAGAATCCAAAGTAGGTAATATCTTCACTTGTACTATTAAGTTATTCTAAATATTATGAAAATATAACTTTCGCATATACATGAAAACCACCTAAATTTTGGTTATAATCTGTGTGGTTAGAGTTGTTACAATTGATCCTAGTGACACCGTGTTAATTGCTGCAAAGAAAATCCTTGAACTTCGAACAAGCTCTGCAGTTGTCGTAGTAGATAACAAACCTCGGGGAATACTAACGTGAGTTTACTCTCAACTGGAAACATATGTTTAAATTAACATCATACTTAAGCAACTGAGTTCGGTTGTATGTCTTACAATTCTCGCAGTTCAAAAGATATTCTAATGAGAGTCATAGCACACAATCTTCCTCCAGAATCAACTCCAGTGGAGAAGGTAATTTTTCTTGCCATATTAGCATGCACCATGTTGTTTGTAGACACTTGAATATTTGATTATCATAAGTTGCTTTATCTAATGTAAGGTTTAATTGCATTGTTTTACTGGAATCAATCCTGGATAATCCTCGGCTATTATTAGTGTGTTTTTCCCTTTCAGAAAAGATTTGACTTTGCCTTTTCCCTTTATTAATACACAAGGTGATGACTCCAAATCCAGAATGTGCGATTATTGATTCACCTATAGTTGATGCTCTTCATACTATGCACGATGGGTCGTTTCTACACCTTCCAGTTGTTGATCGAGGTAGTTTCTGCTCCATAATTTGTTGGTTGTTACACCAAAATGAGTTGACTATTCAGTATTTTTCTTACCTTTTAATCTAATTCAATTAAACAGATGGAATGATCGTAACTGTCATTGATGTGCTTCACATAACTCATGCTGCTGTAGCAACAGTAAGTCATGTTTGACTTTCTACAAGGAAACGCATGTTTAATGAATAAGACATTTTATTCATGTGAGAAATAGATGAGTACTTTACTACGTACCATGACGGATAGTAAATACAATAATGCCAGCTAAAAAGGTTTCTAATTTTGTGGTGCTATTTTTTCTTTCATTCCACTGTGTAAATAGCATGTGATGATTCCACTTTTTACATTTTTCTAGGTTGGTAATGCTGTTGCAGCTAATAGTGAAGCTACGAATTCCATGATGCAAAACTTTTGGGATTCTGCTATGGCTCTAAGTCCAGAAGATGAGGATGACACCCAGAGGTTGTAGTCTTCACATTCCATGTCCCAACTAACTCTTGTTATATTTCTTTTTATTTATATATTAATTTTTTAAATGGTGTAATACTATTTCAGTGAGAATTCATTGAAGTTGGCTTCCGAGGGGGGAGAGACTGGTGTATCTGTCCCGCCACCTTCTTCCACTACATCCAATATTTTCTCTTTCAAGATTCAAGACAGAAAAGGAAGAATGTATAGGTTTATATGTGGTACGTATCGCCTTTTAAACCTATTATTTTCACTGCAGATATGTTTCAGGCTAAATGGTAATTATCTCGATTTTAGGTATCTTCCAAAGTTACAATGTGGCATCAAATTTTGTTACTGATTGAGTACTTGCACATTTTGAGGGAGTTCTTTGTAAAACATATTTGAACTTCAAGTAGATATATGTAATGTTTAATAACAGGTATACTTGTATAAAAGTAGACTAAACTTAAGCAGTGTTTTTGTAGTAACAATCTCTAAGTTTTGCACTACTTGTCCCTACCTTTAAAATTCAAAGATGTTCTATCTGAGGTTCAAATGTTTCAAATTATTCTTGTTTCATGTTTAAAGGTAAACCTCTCATGGTACCTAGTCCTTGTATGGAAAAAAAGAAGAAAAAAGTGAGGAACTAAAACAAAGGAAGATATGGAAACAGATTTGTCTTTACAATGTTTTTTAATGCAGTTCTTTTATAATTTTTTCATATCGCATCGCACCTCCAATTTACAATTTTACATCACATATATAACTCTTTCATGGTACGTTCAAAGTTCTAACCCGCTTGTCATTATATTTGGGTTATATTTGGGGTCCAGATACAGAGAAAATGACCGACCTTGTTAAAGAAATCCTTCAAAAAGTAGGGGCTGATATCGACCGCAACAACCTTCCACTAATTATGGTATTTTTCGGCCTCCGAATTGTCTTATATTTTCAATTTTTCTACAATTCCAAGCCCCTCACGATTCTCGTTGGCCACCTCTTTTTCACAGTATGAAGATGAAGATAATGACAAGGTTCTATTAGCATCAGATAGTGATCTTCAAGCAGCCATACACCATGCAAGGGTATCTGGCTGGAAGGTACTTGTATCTTTTTTACTATAAATTTCATCTACTGAAAAGAGATAACTGCAAAGCTATCTTCAAGTGTCAATCCAACTATATGCATATTATATTTATTTTTATATTTTTAAAAATACAAATATCATTTACGCGGGAAATACTAGTAGTGTTTCAGGTAATATTCGTGATACTGAATATAAAATGATCTATTTTGTAATGCAACAGTACCTTATGATCTAGTCACATAATGTATGTTTAACTTGAATAGGGATTAAGATTGCATTTAGACTACCTGGGAACAAGTCACCATCCAAGACGAACCAAATCGGGGGCTCTTGAATTTGTTCATGCAGATGGATCGATTTCGGCTTATAGTGTTGTTGCTGCTGGGGCCGCCGTGGTTGCGGGTTTTGGCATGTACGCATATTTAAAACAAGTCAGAAATTAACTTATTTTAGTGACGAAATTCGAGTCACATTCATATTTTTCTTGGACCTGACTTAGTTTGAGACTCTATAAAAGCTTAAAGAGTCAGGTCTACTGTTAAGTTGTTTAATAGAAGTATATCCTTATAAATATAAGAAAACCAATCTTTTGTTTTGTTATATTATTTTTATTTTATTTGTAGTGTGTGTTTAAACAATGAATTTACATATTTGATTGTTGATTTAGGTAGAGATATGCTATGTAGCCTTTTGTTTTTGGAAACCTAAATCAAGTTTTGTGATTTAGGCTTTTGATTGTGGAATAAAGTTTTGAACTAATTTTCACGTGATTCACTAATTTTTATGTGACATTGGCCCGTAAATTGTATATCTAAAAATCTTTTCCCATTGATGCGGCATCTGATTTTAGCCCTGTTGGTCATCTGATTTGACTTGATTTACATTCGCATCAAAGAGTCTTGATTTAGTTTGACGGATAATTTATACTCGTATCAATGAATTTTCAAATTTGTAGACATTTTATGCTCGTGTAAAGGAGCCTTCAAGTTTGTAGACATTTTATATTTGTATTGAGGAGCCTATATTTGTAAACATTTTATGCTCGTTTCAAGGAGCCTTCAAATTTGTTGACATTTTATACTCATGTCAATGAGCCTTGTACATATTTTATGCTCATGTCAAGGAGCTTTGAAATTTTTGACTTGTAGACATTTTATTCTCGTGTCAAGGAGATCTTGATTTTTGTAGACATTTATGCTCGTGGGAACTTAGTAGATAGTTTATGTTCATATCAAGGAGCATTTGAATTTGTAGATAGTTTATACTCATATAAAGAGCATTATAATTTGAGATTTGGATAATTTTGCTCATATCAAGAAGCTTTATAGATAGTTTAGACTCCAAGAAGCATTATGATTTGAGATTTGGATAGTTTTTGTCATATCGAGGAGCTTTAAAGATAGTTTAGACTCATATCAAGGAGTGATATAGATAGTTTAAGTTCGTATCAAGGATCATTTGAATGTAAATAGTTTAACTCATTTGAAGGAACATTGAATTTGTAGATAATTTAAACTCATTTGAAGGAGCATTGAATTTGTAGATAGTTTAGGCTCATGTCAATGAGCAGTTGAATTAGATTTTTGATAGAGCTCTTCATGTAAGTTGCCCCTACATTAAGAAGGACTGTAGAACTTCTTTTTTTGGTCTATATTTGCATGAATTTGACGAAGTCAACGATTTTTGCGGCTTCAAGATTTGTGGAAACATCATCTCATTTACATTGTTTTCAAAGAGGTCTTCATACATCTTCAATAATTTTTAAACTTGATTTGAAGAGAAGAGATGAGAGGTAGAGATAGTCCCGCTTGGCGTGCCAAGTTTGTAACAACAAATTTTGTGGAAATCATAGAAGTTTTGTACAATTTAATTTATTTCGATCAAATAATATTGCAAATACAATCTCTATAAATCTCCTCTTAATCCTTTCTTTGCGGACTTCAATTTGATCTTCAAACGGATTTGACACTTGAATCTTTTTTGACCTTGATTTTGAATTTTTCTAACATTAATTTGTGGGTCGAATGACTTATTCACACCTTTGGATCTTCAGAGAATTATCGAGAGCTCTTTCATTGAGACTTTGATTTATGAGCTGTGTGATTTGTGGCTTTGAGGACAACTCTATCTATAGGTGTAAGAGAAAGAGTCATGAGAAAGAAGACATCAAATTTGATTGGTCTTTCATGATTTGATATAATCTCTTTTCTTATCCTAAATTTTGTTCTCATAATAAGATTTGCTTAGTGGGCAATAAATACTTACTTTATACCTAAATGCGCTTAGATGAGATGGCTTGGGTCTCTTCCAGCTTAACCAGTGGTCTCATGTTCGAGCCCTGGGAATGCAGCAGTGTTAAACACTATTGAGGGAGAGTTTTGCCGCCCTTGTGGTCCTACCCGGCTCGATTCTAGATTAGTCGGTTCCCCTGTGGATCCGAAAACCAGAAGGTCCCTGTACCAAAAAAAAAAAATATATATATTTACTTTATTTATTAAATATCTTTTTTATATTAGATTTATGTCCAAAAATAATTAAAAAACACTAATTAATAAAATATTAAAATTTCAACTTCTACTGTCTTCTATTTCATGTTTCCATATATCAATCAGTTTATAAGGTTGAATAATTTTCTCTGTCAATTTTTGGCATCGTTTTTTGACTCAGACCGGCCCGGCGGGTTGACCTTGAAGCGGAACCGGTCCAGATGGGCTATTTGGACCTGGTAACATCGGTCAAAACTCGGCCAACCGACCTTGACCCGCCCGACCCGGTGTATTGACCCGGCCGGGTCAACCTGGTTGACCCGACACATGTATATTTTTTTTTTTTGTTTTTTTTTTTAAGTAAAACTACGTATATATGTTTATATGGTAATTATTATCATGAGATACATATTATTAACACTTTAATGTACAAATTTTATATACAAAACATTTAATTTTTTTACTTTTATGTATATTTATATGACAAAAATACTCCATATATAGTTTTAAAAATTTTAAAATTAATAATCCGGTTCAGCAATTTTAAAATACTCTATATTATCATGAGATACATATTATTAACACTTTAATGTTTTGTGAACCGGATAATTAATTTAAAAATCTTTAAAATTATATATAGAGTATTTCTGTCATATAAATATACATAAAAGTAACAAATTAAATATTTTGTGTATAAAAAATTGTACACTAAATGTAATAATACGTAGCTCATGATAATATTTACCATATAAACATAGTTTTTGTTGTCAAATGAAAATTAACAACGATATAATCGATAAGACTTTGAAGTAAGCTCAGGATTAATCAATAGAAGCTTGTATGTCTTATAGAAGCAGGTGAATTTTTCCGAATATTATTATTGTACATATATCCGTCCCTCCTCTCCGGAGAACTGTTCTCTCCTTTTATATTTTTGTACAATATTTATCTGTATAGTAATCATTACATTTGAAAGGTCAAAGGCGACTTCAAGGTCAAAGGCGGCTTCTTGCTACGTCTCTTAATAGCGCGCCACTTGGACAAACATAATGATGATGTATGCTGAGTTGTCGCCGCCTTACAGTGCTGAGATGGCACATCATAGATATCGGTTTGTCCAATTATAACCGATATGTTGTATCCGACATGTAGTGACCGACATATGATGACCGACATGAGATATCGGTCAGGTAATGGAGATGTCGGTTCTTGCTGAATCTCTCGTCATGCAGTCGTCTTTAAAGTCTGTGAAAACGTCACGCACTTGCACGAATTTTAATTATCCCCACACTGACTGTAATCGTCTAATCAACGTTGCTTAACTTGGTTCATTGAAAATGATATCAACAAGGTGGCCCCCAGCATTAATGGTCGTCTGGACGGAAGACGGGCAGTGATGCTGAAGCCTTATCGGAAAATAACTAAATTCTTGGATCAACATGACATGTCGGTATCATCATCACTCCTCCGACATCTCTACACTTGGTGGAAATAACACTCAAGAATTGAAACGGTGTGCTTTATTGAAATTAATTGCACCGTTTATTAATAGGGGTAACGGTCACTTAAAATAGGCCACGTAGCTGCTATTAAGAGGCACGATTTTCAAGAGTCGCGTCGACTCGCAAATCCAGAACGTGTAATCCACGCGCCCCTGTTTCCGTCGATTTCCAACGGTCGCTTTCGAATCCAGGGTTTAGTATAAATAGAAATTCTTCTTTTGAGATTCATTTTACTTTCATCTTCTTCTTGTAATCGTCTTTTCTGCTTTCTTTGCAAATTAATCGCCTTTCAATTGTGTTCAGAGCATTCCAGATCTGCGAACTGCTTCTTGTGGTAAGAATTTCTCATCGTATTTTGTTTATTTACTCCGACTTTTCTTTCTTTTTCTCGACATCATGAGCGTTTCATGGGCGTCTTCGGGTGACGACGAATTGGACGTGATGATGATTAACATGGTTCACTCTGGGGAGTTGGAGTTGTTGTCTGAGTATAACCGATGGGACCCAGTGTTTGTCGAACGATTGAAGATTCGGCTAAACGATAGCGAGGGGGACAAAATCGTAGAGAAAAACGCCATCGATGACTCACGATTCTGGAGGCGACCTATTAGGAGATGGCCGAACCCTGAACTTACATCCCATGGCGAGCCTAGTATTCTTACTGATGCCGACGTCGTTATGTTGCGGAGCGAAATTCGAGTCCCTACGTCGGTACATCTGTTTGCTCCATACCCAGGTGAGAGGATCACATGTCCTCCACCCAACTGTGTCGGCGTGTTCGCTGAGAGTTTGAGATCAGGCTTGCGATTCCCTTTGCCGCGCATAATCACTGAATACTTACGGGATTGGGAGTTTCCGATATGCCAGATCGCTCCGAATTCATGGAAGCGAATTATTGGACTACTGGTACTTTTCGCCGAAAAGAAGTGGGATCTACCGTCGGCAAAGGACATGAGAAGCATGTTCACATTTCGAAAGAGTCCAGATAGACAAGTGTCGGACCCACTTCTCACTTTTTCCATTGTCGGTAAACCCCAACCAAGGGTCAAGGTCGGCGAATTAATAATGGAGGTCCCCGACACTTTACATGGCTTCCAAGAGGAGTGGTTGTGGGTCGGTGGAGATTGGCAGTGCCCCGACTTCGCTAATGATCTTCTTGCCGACGGGACAAGCATCCCAATGGCTATTAAATCTGGTTATTGTAAGTTGTTTCCGTTTTTTTCACTTCGGTTATTAATATTTTGTTTTTTGTTGTCGCTAACAGGTGGACTTTTGTGACCTTGTAGCAAAACCAACCGGGAAAAGAGAGCCCAAGTTCGAGGGTCTACTATACGATCGAGTAGACAAATTGTTTGAAGTGTCTCATAACAAACGACGATATCAACGTCTTGTAAAGGATTCTCGTTTAGAGTTGGCTGGTTTGTCCCCCGGGATACTTGATTCTTCATTTTCACCAGGTAATCTTCTTCGCTTATCTCGTAGCATTGTTCATGTTAACGAAATCGGTCTAACTTTGAATTTGCCGTAACAGTCTATTATCCATTGCAGGGATATTTTGGTTTCGGAGATCCCACAGAGGCAGAAGAACACCGGAGACGTAATCCGAACTTCGACTTAAAGAACAAAGTCGGAAAAAATAAAAATCTTCGATCAACCGAAATGGCTGGACGCATAAACCTTCTTAAGGCGTGGAAGAAGAATCCCAACCGATTTCAAAGTGCTGTCGGTGAACCATCGTCAACAAGGGTAGAGCCTACGCCAGCGATCGTGAATGAGCCAGTAGTTACCGACGTCCCGCCACTTGAGGTGGCACCACTGCAGCAAATAATGACGCTGGTTGATGAGCCTGTGGTTGAGCCATAAATCTCTCAAGAAGTGCCAGGGGAGTCCGATGCGTCGGTGATTCATCGTCGCAAGAGATCCAGCGTATCTCACGTGGCGGAAAGGATGAAGAAGAGACAAGACACCGGCGTCGGCAAAGATAAGGAGGAAGAACCCGAAATCATTCTGAGGGATTCCTTCCTCAAAATAAATGAGAAGAAAGCGGCGGAGCTGACGCTGCCGGAGGGCGTGTTTGACCCTTAGTTCTCAATGTTTCAGACAGTCGTCGAGCCAAAAATCACAAACAATCAGCGGTTCCCCGATGAAGCGGTTAAGGCAGCAAAGGTCCCTTTGATGTCGTGGGACCCGAAAACTCACGCTGGGATTGCATCTCTGCCCGACGACCAGAAATTCAGTTATGCCCGAGGCTGCTTGGGACGGGCACTTGTCAGCTTCATAGCGGCCGAAGAAAGTTATCGGGGCAGAGTTCATGAGCTTGATGAGAAGCAGCACGAGCTAAGTTTGAAAGAAGGCGCCATAGCTTCTTTGGAGGATGAGAGGTCCCGTTATGAAGCATCAATGTCGGAAAAAGATGCTCAGTTGTAGGCGGCACAGACCGAGGTGAGTGCACTTAAAACTGAGAGAGAGAATCTTCTGCTGGCCCATGACCTCTTGTCGGTTCAGCTGCCCAAGGTTGCCGAGGTCGCAAAGGAGAAAGACGAGCAGCTTACAAGGTTAAAGGCTGAGCTTCAAGCTGTCTGCAAGGATCGGTCCGATAAGGATGCTGAGCTGATCCGAAGTCGCGAAGCTCATGAAGCTGCTATGGGTAAACTCCGACAAGAGATGTCAACCACGGCTGAGCTCAAATTCCATGAGGGTATCGAAGTCGGGAAGAAATCGGTGGCCGAGTTCGACAACGCATCTAATGCCAACGCAGTAACGGAATGGGAGTTGGAATTGAATGTCGCCTTAGCTTTGCGTTGGGTGATCGACAGAGTAGAAAGCGGCGTATACACTATAGATGAATTGCGTATCTTCCTCCTTCATAAAATGGAGAAGCATGGTTTTAATCCTGAAATGAAGAACGCCCATATTCCGGCCGACCAGGATGAAAGAGACTTCGCCGACCGACTTCTTAAGCAGAAAGAAAGTCGGATGTTGGAACTGGACTTGATACCCTTGTCGAAGGAATGCAAGGCAAAAATCCGCCGGTCATTTGTCGACATGGTCCTCGAAGTGGAAAAGGCCAAGAAGCCTGAAATGGCTAATATATGTGTGGAGACGATTGCTGAGGCCTTTGTCACAGAAACATTTGAGGGCTTGTCTGATGAAGAGCTTCTGGGCGCGATTATCAGTTTTGCCTCACGCAAGGTGGCAGAGGATGACGCTAAAGCTAAAGGATGGGTGATTGACCCAGTTCCTTCTGACGACGACCGTGTTTTGCATGAAGATGATGACGTCGTCGTGATTAAAGAAAGCGATGTCGTCCGAGCACTGGAAGAGAAGGAGGAGGACGTAATTCAGCGCTTAAGTCAGAGATTAATAGATCATATGGACACCGTTGATAAGGGCAAAGCTGGAACTGAAATTCCTCAGTCTGGAGGGGCATCGTCATCGGGAACGAAAGAAACTTAATGTTATTTTATTTTGTCGTTTAGTTGTTTTTCTCGGAATGTAATATTTGGTTTTGAAATGAAATATTAAAATTTGATGGTGGTAATATTCTTTATGAATGCTTCAATGTGACTTATCATTGCAACAAGTCAAAATATGTCGGAAAAGATGAATAAGCGTATATTAGATTAAAATTTACGACATAACATAAGTGTAATAATTTATAGGAACTACTGACTTCGGTGTAGTCTTACAGTATTTCTGACATCAATAACTTTATCGGAACAAGTTATAACAAACTTGCTTTTATTGGAAGTATTTATTGTGCAAGTCCTTGAATGTCTCAAAGACCTTACGGATTTTATTGTCAGCTCATCAAATCAACGTCGGGATTTGACATCAAAGAGCATAAGCCTCCCCAAACCATCTTAAGGGCTTGGAAGTATCCGGCTTTGTCGCACTTGGCTAGGTCATACCATCTTCAGGGTATGAAACACGTTTAGCCTTAGCAACGAGGACCGATTATTGGGGTCCGAGTGATCGAACAAATTATGGAGGTTCGTCACACAAACTTTATTGATAGCAAAATATGGTTCTTGTACAGGAGTAGGACAAAAACTTTTTTACACGTCAGGGACAGAACCTTGGCCATTAGGTTCACTGGTAGTACCTCTTCAGGTAGGTCGTGTGCCAGGGATATTGAAGGGGAACACCATCTAACGTTTCAAGTCGGTAGGTGCCATTAGAAATCGGACGATTTACTTTAAAGGGTCCTTCCCATTTCGGTTGTAACGGACCGACATTGGCCCCAGCGGCACTTTTCAGTACAAGATCTCCTTTGACAAATGAGCGTGGCATGAGTCTTGAGTTGATGTACTTTTCACTACGTCGTTTATAAGCGGTATTTCGGACCTCAACATCAGCTCGTAGCTCATCGACCAAATCGAGATTGGCTCTCAAGTTTGTCTAGTTGGTTTCTTCAGAGAAGTGAGTGACCCGATATGTTGGAGAAGCGAGTTCAACCGGTATCACAGCTTCAGTCCCGTATGCCAATGAAAACGGAGTTTCTCCAGTCGAGTTTCTCGTCGTCGTCCGGTAAGACCAGAGGACATAAGGCAATTCATCAGGCCACGATCCTTTGGCAGCTTCAAGCCGAGTTTTCAGACCATTTTTGATAATTTTATTTACGGCTTCTATCTGTCCATTAGCTTGTGGGTGATAAGGTGACGAGAAGAAGTTCTTGATGTCGTAATCTTCACAAAAGCTTTCAAATCGCTTGCCTTCAAACTGACGGCCGTTGTCGGTTATGATGGAGTTCGGTATTCCAAACCGACAAACAATTGACTTCCATACAAAATCAACCATTTTCTGCTCCGTGATGGCTACAAGGGGCTCGGCTTCAACCCACTTAGTGAAATAATCGGCAGCTAAAATAGCAAACCGAACTCCCCCTTTTGCTGTTGGAAGTGGGCCGATCAAGTCAACTCCCCATTTTGCAAACGACCATGGGCTATATATTGACTTGAGGAGTTCAGGATGTTGGTTAACGTTAGGGGCAAATATTTGGCACTTGTGGCACCGCCGCACCTAATCTGCAGCGTCTTTCCTAATGGTAGGCCAGTAGTAGCCTTGTCGGAGAATTTTGTGGGATAAAGTTTGAGCTCCCTGGTGGGTACCGCAGACTCCTCCGTGTACTTCTTGAAGAACTCATTGGGCGTCAGTCTCTGGCAAACACTTAAGCAATGAAGTAGAGTATCCACGCTTATATAACGTTCCCTGATCGATGGTAAAACGAGCGGCACGAATACGAAGAGCGCGAGCTTCTTTTGGATCTTCAGGTAGGGCCCCGGTTTGAAGATAGTCAATGATCGGATCCATCCACGTCGGATTTGAAGTTGGTGGGACGGCGTCAACTATGACGACATCGGTAGAAACTGTTGATGAGGTTGCCTGCTGAGTAATTTGCACGAACTCGACATTATTCAAGTCGGTTGACGAGGCCAGACGTGAAAGAGCGTCTGCTTGAACATTGGATGACCGAGGAATATGCTCCAACGTCATTTTAAACCGTGTCAGCTTCTTTTTTACGAGATCAAAATAAGGCAACAACCGTGGTTCTTTAACTTCGTAAGAACCATTGATATGGCTGACTAGTAACTGAGAGTCGGAAAATATTCGGAGAGAATAAACATTCATAGATTCGGCGAAGTGTAAACCTGATAACAGGGCCTCGTACTCGGCTTCGTTGTTGGTGACCGGGAAGGTGAATGCCACAGAGTAGCAAAACACTTGTTGATCAGGACTAACTAAGACGATCCCTCCTCCAGCTCGTATAGCGCTGGACGATCCGTCAATGTAGAGAGTCCACGTCGGATCTTCAATGGATGTACTGACGGCGGGAGTAAATTCAGCAATGAAATCAGACAGCACTTGAGCTTTGATAGCGGTTCGTGGTCGGTACTGAATATCAAACTGTCCCAATTCTATTGCCCACTTAATCATTCTTCCCGACGTGTCAGGTCGGTGGAGGACTTGTCGGAGAGGGTATGTCGTAAACACAATAATTGAATGCTCTAGAAAATATGGGCGCAGCTTCCGTGCAGCGATGACCAGAGCAAAGGCTAACTTCTCCATATGCGGATATCGCAATTCAGCGTCATGTAAGGCCTTGCTAACATAATATACCGGAAACTGTTGAAGCCCATCCTGTCGTATAAGAACAGCACTAACAGCGACGTTACTTACACCAAGGTACAAATACAGAGGCTCATCAGGAAGTGGCTTCTGCAATGTCGGTAACCGTGAGAGAACTTCTTTAATGTTGTCAAAAGCATTCTGGCATTCCATGGTCCATTCGAACGGTTTCTTCTTTTTGATAGCATCAAAGAACGGCTTGCAATGATCTGTAGACTTTGAAATGAACCGATTGAGGGCTGCCAGTCGACCAGTTAAAGCTTGGACACCCTTGATAGATGTCGGGGGAGCTAGGTCAAGTATGGCTTGAATCTTGGCGGGATTGGCTTCGATCCCTCTCTGACTCACCATGTATCCTAAGAACTTCCCTGATCCAACTCCGAAAGTACACTTCTTGGGGTTAAGCACCATAGAATATTCTCGGAGTATATCGAAGACTTCGGAAAGGTGGGCGATGTGATCAGAGGCCTGTTCCGACTTCACTAACATATCGTCTACATAGACTTCCATCGTGTGGCCGATCAGGCGAGCAAACATCTTATTGACCAGCCTCTGATACGTGGCCCCTGCATTCTTCAATCCGAAAGTCATCATGACATAGCAATAAAGACCTCGAGCTGAGTAGAACGAGGTGTGTTCAGCATCATCAGGGTGCATAGGAATTTGATTAAAGCCTGAATAGGCATCCAAGGAACTCATAAGTTGGTGTCCCGACGTAGCATCTACCATGTAATCAATGTGTGGAATGGGGTAGCTATCTTTCGGGCATGCTTGATTCAAATCTGAAAAATCTATGCACAGACGCCAAAGGCCGGTGGCCTTCTTGACCAAGACAGGATTTGATATCCACGACGGGTACTTGGCTTATTTGACAAAGTTATTGTCTATGAGCTTGTTTACTTCCTCTTCAAGGGCCTTCTGACGATCGGGGCCGAATTTCCGGCATTTCTGGATAACGGGTTTGACAGTCTTATCCAAATTCAAGCGATGGCATGCCTTCTGTGGGTCAATTCCTTTCATATCTTCATGCTTCCAAGCGAACACATCGGAGTTTGATTGAAGGAATCGAATTAAGCTTGATCGAATGGGTTCTTGAAGGTTGGCCCCAATGCGTAGCGATTTCTGCTGGGTCGATCCATCCACGTAAATGGTTTCGACATCTTCAATTGGTTCCGCTCGGACATGATGACTTCCCTCCTTGAACTGCATCATTGGGTCCATATCCTCATGTATTTCTATGTCTTTCTCATGAAAAGATCGTTCTTGATCAAAGACTTCAGTTAACGTTTCAGGCAAAACCGACGTCATAGGGATGTCGGTATTAGTAAGCGGTATGTCGGTATCTGCTTGAGGCATCTGCATCCGGAATGAACTGATCAGCCCTTTCAGCATCAGAAATTGAATTACTAGGCTTAACGAAATTATCAGCATCCTGCTCTTCAACCATATGAAAATTACGCGAGGTTGAGAGCAACATCAGACTTCGGGCTTCTCGTTGATCTCCGTAATGAGTGCCTTCTCCTTCAATAGTGGGGAACTTCAAGGCATAATGAAAAATTGACACAGCAGCACGAAGTTTGTAAAGTGCAGTTCGCCCTATTACAGCATTATATTCATTCTGGACATCTAGAACTTTGAAAGTCTCCATGATGATCTTGGATTTTGGTACAAAGCCACCAAAACGAATAGGGAGCAATATTTCACCGACAGGGCAGGAAATGCTCCGCTTGAAAGTGCGGAGCATTAAAATACTTGAGTAAGCTCCTGTGTCGACCAAAATCCGATGAACAGGAATCCCCCCAATCGGGGCTGTTATAATGAGGGCGTCGGAATGAGGATGAGCAAATAAATTAGCGTCTTCGATACTGAATGTGATAGGACAATTCCGTTTGTTAATGGTATCTCGAAGGTCAACATTCATGACTCGTTTCTCGGCATTCTGTGCCTCCCGGGCATAGGCTTTGACTTTCCGTCGAGACGTATCTAACTGTTTATTATTGGAGTTGATTCGAGGTATGCAATGTGAAGAGTCTAAGGCATCACGTATTTTAGACTTCCTGTAGTTATCAGTCGAGGTGCCGACATGAGTAGAAAATGTAAAGACCTCCTTATCATTTGCGCGAGCTCTTTTCTGGTTAGCAGGTCGGTTATCTTCATCTTCATCGTCTGAAAGATCCAAGGGCCTTCCTTTCCGGCGGTTGTCAAAATTTCGAAACTTTTGAAGTTGAGGTTGGCCGATCAAGCGAAAGAGTGCCGACAAAAGACCGAGACATTCATCAGTATTGTGTCCAGGAGACTTATGGTATGCACAGTACCGAGTTTTCTCCAACTTGTCTTCAGGAGTTCTCACAGGCCTCGGGTCTGGGATAATCCCCTTTCCTTTCAGTTCTTCATATATGGTAGCTGCTCCAGCAGAATAGACGGCATGATAACCCGTCCTGACGTTGTCCGAATATTGATCACGAGCAGCCCGAGACTTTGGAGTATTTTCATATCCTTTGGAGGAGTTCCGAAACTGTGCTTTCCCAAAGTTCTTCTTGTTCTTCTTTTTAGCGTCCGGTTCAGTCTTGCTCTCTTTCACCGAGAAGTCAAAACTGGGAACCGACATCGATTCTTCAGCAATAATAAATTGTTGAGCTCGCACGAGAAATTCTTGAAACGTAGCAGGTTTATTTTGACACAAGGTCCAACGAAACATCGAGTTGGGTTTCAATCCAGCAATGGCAGTTACTAACAGAGTTTCAGGGTGACAAGGCTCCATATTCTGAATTCGGTCGTTGAACCGGGCCACATAGTCTTTAACAGTCTCGTCATCCTTCTGCACAATGTTGGTAATTGATTCTTTCGGAATGAGGCAAATTTGAGCACCGATAAAGTGTGATCGGAAAGCCGCACGTAACTGTTGCCATTTCCAAATCGAATGAGGCGGAAGAGTATAATACCATTTTTGAGCTCGTGGCCCCAGTGTAAGCGAAAACATCCGACACCTCAGAGCGTCTGAAGCACCATGCAAATCCATCCAGGACGTATAATGGCCCAAATGTGCATCTGGATCTGATGTCCCATCATACATACCGATTTGTGGAATTTTTACCTTAGCTGGAAGCACCTCTGCGGTAAGTTTCGGAGCTAATGGGGAATCCGCCTCAATGATGACATTTCCCGACGTCGTGACATGTCGGGGAGAGTCTTCCTGTGACTTCTGTCGCGTCTCAAGTTCAGCCAAACGTTTACGAAGAGTTTCAATTTCCTCTGCACTATGCCTTGAAAGGCGATTTCGCTCAATTTGGCGCCGCAGATCTTCGTGAGCGCGAGGCGCTGATGAAACGGGTCTAGGATGTGGAGAAGTTCTCTGGTGATGAGCAGAATGACTTTCAGCAGTCATCTCCTGCGGAGGAGGTTGATCTGGAACTTGATTGTTCGTTACGGGATTAGCAATTACATGAATCCGCTCTTCTCGACGTGGAGAAGTATGATGAGGTTGCGACGTGGCGTGTGATGTTGCTACATGTGTTTCATGGTCATGATGAGTGTGGATTGGAGGTTCTGTTGGGTTAGTAGTTAACGGCATTGATAACGGTACCGTATTCGAGTTCCTGGGCATGGCTCGAGCTATCAGCGAAGTCAAACCTTGAACAAACTCCGGATTTTGTAGGAAGTTCTTGACATTTGTGACCGGAGGAGGTGGTGTTGCACGCCGTGGAGAATGGTTAGTCGATTGGCTCTGGCCAGGGTGAGTTACGTGGTCTCGACCAGACTGCGACATGATGGTTTCGAGCGTGCAAATGGCTTAAACGCGAAAGTTAACTTGAAAACATGAACGCCGCCCTTCCTCTAGCGCCAAACTGTTGTCAAATGAAAATTAACAACGATATAATCGATAAGACTTTGAAGTAAGCTCAGGATTAATCAATAGAAGCTTGTATGTCTTATAAAAGCAGGTGAATTTTTCCGAATATTATTATTGTACATATATCCGTCCCTCCTCTCCGGAGAACTGTTTTCTCCTTTTATATTTTTGTACAATATTTATCTGTATAGTAATCATTACATTTGAAAGGTCAAAGGCGGCTTCAAGGTCAAAGGCGGCTTCTTGCTACGTCTCTTAATAGCGCGCTACTTGGACAAACATAATGATGATGTATGCTGAGTTGTCGCCGCCTTACAGTGCTGAGATGGCACATCATAGATATCGGTTTGTCCAATTATAACCGATATGTTGTATCCGACATGTAGTGACCGACATATGATGACCGACATGAGATATCGGTCAGGTAATGGAGATGTCGGTTCTTGCTGAATCTCTCGTCATGCAGTCGTCTTTAAAGTCTGTGAAAACGTCACGCACTTGCACGAATTTTAATTATCCCCACACTGACTGTAATCGTCTAATCAACGTTGCTTAACTTGGTTCATTGAAAATGATATCAACAGTTTTATTTTGAAAAAAGCAAAAAAAATAAATAATTAAAAATACATATATGGGCCGGGTCAACAAGGTTGACCCGGCCGGTCAATGCACCCCGTTGACCCGGCCGGTCAATGCACCGGGTTGGCCGGGTTTTGACTGGGTTTGACTGAGTCCTTTGTTGCTCGGTCCAAATAGCCAATTCGAATCGGTTCCTGTTCCGGGTCGACCCACCTGACTGGTCCGGGTCAAAAACTATGCAAGAAAGAAAATAAAATATGAAAATAAGAATTTCCATCATCCCACATGCCCAGATGGACAGCACCCAGTCAACCCATCCAGAAGATAAAATTATGAAAATAATTGAATAATTACAAAATGGTGTTTGCATTTGCATATTGACAAAATATTGAATCACGGGAAATTGAATCACGGGAAGAGAGAGTTTGCAACTGGGGCATAATACTTTGCTTTAACTGGGCATTATACCAAATTAATGGCTTTATATTTCGAATATTACATAACTTCTTTTTTTTTTTTTTCTGAACCTCAGATTTATGTCGGTCGGCCCTCCAATAATACTTTACTCTGATGGACCCATTACAAAATTTAAAGATACTAAAAACAAAGGAAAATGCTAAGGTCTCGTTGCGTAACTATACCGTCGAAGTTTGTCACCACTAGATCATTATGTAATCGTCATAGATAGATAGTTGATCTAACGGTTACATACCCGAGGAATAGTTCCAGAAGTAGCATCTTCCAAAATGTAGTGGCCGCAGCATTCATTTCTAAGATTCTCCCAAATCTTCATTTTTATATTCTTCCTAGTTCCTCCTGTTTCTTTGCTACACTCTCAAAATCACTCTCAAATACTGTATAAATAAAATAAAATCTTCTCCATTAAA